TATATATATGATAACGTCGAATTGTGTTCAGTCCCATCGACCAAGAAGAGATATATAAAGTATCTTGTCTACTTCAAGCTTATGTCAAGAGGGCGCTCTCCAAATATTTCGAATGCGCTTTGGCTGGTTCCCGCCTCAAGTGTCATGGCGTACCAAGCCACAAGAGGCCGGTAACTAGTAACGGTTCCGGCATTCTGATTATTCACTTTCTTGTTGCTTGTTCTATTTCCCTTGATTACCTGACGTCAGCGCTAACGCTCGTGGCTCTAGAGCAGGGGTTTCCTTTTACTCTCGAATGTTGGGCGAATACAAAACTGTTTCTTATATTATAAATTTGCACAGAAACAGCGAGAAATGCCAGAAACATCTCAAATATGCAAATCTAAGAAGGCAGAATGTATTGGCATGGCGTGATGAAAAGTTGTTTACAGTAAACGAATATTATAATGTTTTTTTAAATTACGCCACTTAGTCTCGTGACTTCCAACCGGAATCCCGGTCCAGTGGAACAATATGGCGATTACTAGTTGCCTCCCTCCTACTTGCCATTCGCAAGGGAGGACGGGAAGCAGCGAAGAATGTGCTCAGCTTTTTATTTGTGTGAATTGACTACGTTGTAGAATGTGTTGTATGCCATATTTATATAAGATGTGATTAGGTTTGGTTTTCTTTGTGACGTCATGCTTACCAATCCCGGAACGGAGGTTAAACCAAAGAAAGGCAGCTTGTAATACTTGAGATAGCTTCCACAAGACTGGCCCAGGAAACAAGAGTACAAAGTGGTCACAAAAAAGCATCGCTTTTGATCATTGTGAAAAGGAAGCAAATTGTTGACGTCGGGTTTCGGAGATGGGGCAATTCGAAATGAAAACAAGCATATTTTATTTCAACACGATTATATTTTTAACATCCGGTGACGCCAATGTATCTCATTACAAGTGTTCGCCGTTCCGTGGCAATTGACAAACCCAGTCCACCGGAGGCGACGTCAATAGGAGCCCCCCCCCCCAACCGAATTTCTTGATCCGCCAGTGGTATACTTTGTTTTATTCGTTGTTTCCACTTTATTAAGTGTAATATGCTACTTTTTGTACTTTAATTATCAACTGTACTATGACAGAAACACGCATAGTTTCAGTAGCTCATTTGTAAGGTTACTATGACTACTGGAACAATTCCTATACCACAGCATAGCATGGGAGAATTTCGCCTAACAATGACCAGACGTTTACCCGACAATAATGTTTGGTCGGGTCATATAAAATTTTGTCTATCATGATAAGTTAGAATTCGAAACAGCTGATGCTCTAAAAGTACAGACTACTATCGGACTGTTTTATAGCCTAAAGTCACATGACCGTCTGGCACGAAGAAGATTGTGCATTCGGCTCCCCTGGTTGCTAATTCAAGATGTCTAATGAGATTGTCAGCATTTTAAATTAATTAGGATTATTTTAATTTTTATATGGAGTGAAATTCGCTAAAATGCCATGTAACTATTTCAACGTGTTTTACAGTCTCTGGATTGACAACATCCGGGATTCCAACGTTGATGAAGGCTCAATCATTTGCCAACAGGGGGCGCACTTCACGACCACACTTTTCACGCAAGGTACACACGAGACAACTATTGTTGGGTCGTCTTGAGAGCCGTTCTTAAAGGGGAACCGATACTATAAATAAGGGGCAAGATGGCCACCGTTTTATGGGATTAGCGGGACAGGGGGAAAGATAAGCATTCATTTACTTACTTAGTAGACAGAGGCAGAGTTAATTACCCATGAGCACTTGGTGCAATCCGTGGAATTGAGCGGTTCCCCTTTAAAACAAATGGTTTAATAGGCCCAGTTGTCTAATCAGTTGGAGCAACATAATCTGCAAGTATAGCTGGGGGTTCATTACCTGCGCACGCGCCGGAGTTCCAAGCGAAGATAACAACGCATGCTGGAAACTCAAATGCTAACGTCGGGCAAATGATTACCTGCGCTCGGGCACAAACGCCCATATTCGGGCAGTAATATATATGCTTCCACATCATGTTTACCTAAAATTCCAACATGGCCGACTATAGATCTCACAAAAGCTCGTGAGACTTCATGCAATTATGCCTCATAGTGCACAAATATTCTAAGTCTTTTCGGGACATGTTTGAGACTAGTCTGAAAAATGTCAATATACAGCAAAGGTTTGAAAATTTACTGAGGGTATATGGGGGGGGGGCTATTCTGAAACATGCCTGCACCTAACGCACTAGTCTCGAACTAATTTTAAAATAATGATTTTTATTCGAAATGTTTCAGTGTTGTTATAAATCTATCTCAGTACAGGTGCACGATATCCCAGAAATGTTTTGAACATGTTTAAAACATGCCTTTCTATAGAAATATAAATAGGACATGTTTCTGGGACTTAGTTCAATCGAACCTCGTTCATTCACTTTGTTTCATAGTTTGAGGGCAGCATATCGTAATGACACATGTGTACCTAACTGAGTACGAGTAAACTAAAACACGAAGTGAAATTCAATTGATGTGAATGATGTAGATTTATAAAACCAGCTGTGACGGCTGCGCATATTTAATTACATATTTGATCCAGACGTTATAGGATGGCGTATGGATATATGAATTATTCGTGGACTGTATGTAGTCTCACAACCAGACAAATCCAGCCCGGACACTTCCAATAACAGTTTAGGAGTCAGTTAGAGAAGCATTCAATTTTTCTGCATAACGTGGATACATGAAAGTATCAAGTAGGCTGCTGTTTTGGTGAGTATATTGCGTGATTTTATTCGGAAACCAGCCATAATCGTTGAGTGTACGACGATCTACTATATGGAATTTCTATACGATTTAATATTTTCCACAGTGTACTCTAAACCACGAAGTGCCCGTGTACTACTCTGCGATATTTGAGAGAGATAAGTGGTAGACATGAATAATATAATATATGAATATGGAATGGCCAAATTTATTTATCCTGTCTGCCTACTTAAAAACGGAGTACTGTAATGCCTTGTTTTAATATATTTAGAGGTTAAATCCTTTTGATAATCGCGTCGTATTTACAAATGACCTTGGTCACGATTAAAACGGCGCAATATCACGGGCTTGTCGTGTAGTAAGCTATATATCATCACGATTTTACGACCTATATGTGTTGTGCGGCAAATATCAATGAATTCGCCACAGCTTTCTTTATTTCCTTTTTAACTATATATAACTAGATACCCCGTTTTATGCGTACACTGGAAGCGTCTTACGAAGACACACAGACGCACGCGCTCTTGGTCGAAGCTTGAAGATCACACGTCACCCCAAAGTTGATGGACCGTTATATTGCAATTTTATTACACAATTTTTTTTATTAACGTTAAACTGGACTGAAACAAAATTCCTCTGTCGATATGCGGTTTTGATATAGGCCGTCGAACTTCCTTTTTGCGCGTGCGCGCGCGCAGTGGCTGGTTGGCAAGAACCAGTCGTTTACAACCCAAGATAAAAAAAAAACGGCGTTGTTTGCTGATGTTGTTTTCAAATTTACATATATGTGTCCCTGTTAATAATAGACCAGCTTACGGACAACGGATTCACCACAGTTTGCGATCTAAACCTGATT